AAATATGAAAGCCTGAAACAGGAAAATTACTCAGATATTTTGTTTAACAGTTTTTCCTCAACTTGCCAACTTGCTTTAAATTTCCATTTTATTTTTCAATTTATTCGTTTTAATTTTTGTCTATTTCTGACTTTTGAATTTTTGTTTGCTTCTTAATATTTTCAAATATAGAAAAGTCAAAATAAAAATAGAGACAAAATATAAGAGGTTGGAATAAGAAAATTACCTACGTCTTTTTGTAAAAGAAAATTCTTGTTTTGTCCTCAATTTTCATTTTATTTCTTAATTTTTGTCTATTCCAGGATTTCCAGATTGTAAATAAAAGATTTTTCATCCCTAATTGGCTTCAAATTTCGTCTCTATTTTTCTGTCCAAATTTTATTTATTCCTGGCTTTTGAATCTTGATTTTTTTTCTCAATTTCTGCAAATAAGGTGTGCGAAATTAAAACTGGAAAACCCACAGGTTGCTAATAGAATGATAATCGCTGAATGATTTTAAATTGAAATTGAAAAGGATATTTTTTCACCTTACCTGGCTTTACTTCCAAACTCCACTCAGCTGGCCAACTCTTTCAGGAAGTTCAAGTCCAATGCGAAGGAGTACAAACGAAACCGTCTTGATTGAAAAACCGCAGATCTATTTTCTGGTCCTTCGAACCGGAAACTGAACATAAGAAAAACTCAAAAAAAAAAAAACAGAGTAAATCTGAGAGCCTAAAATAGATAAATTTTGTGTTTGTACAGGGTGGTCCAAAAATTCGAGCCTCATCATTGGGATCTCGGTAACCGTAAGAGATTTTTTGTCTAAACTTTTGTCTATCCCCGGCTCTTAAATTTATGCTTTCTTTCAAATTTCTTTGTCTAACAATTTTTTCACATTTAACTCAAATTTTCTTTCTATTTCTCAATATTTTTATATAAATATTTATCTATTCTTGGCTCTTAAATTTTGTTTATTTTCTTTTCTTGAACATCTATTTTCTCCTCAATTTATGTCTTTAACAATTTTTTCTTAATTTGCCTTAAATTTCCTCTCCATTTCTCAATATTTTCGTCTCAATTTTTGTCTATTCGCGGCTCTTTAATTTTTGTTTTCTTCTAAAAATTTTGTATCTTAATTTGTCCTGAACTTCCTTAGTTTTTTCGAACTTTGACATGTTTAAATTTTTGTCTATTCTCTTTAAACATCTATTTTCTTCTCAATTCCCTTTTTTGACATTTTTTTCTAAATTTGTCTTAAATTTTCTCTTATCTATTTTTTAATTTTTTGTCTGTGTCTCAATTTTTATCTATTTCTGGTTTTTGAATTTTCTTTAAATAAAAGACAATTTTTCCTTAATTTTTTTTATCGATTTCTCAATTTTTTTGTCTCAATTTTTGGTCTAATATTGAATTTATTTCTCTAAAATTTTTTGTTCAACAATTCTTTTTCAATTTTCCTCAAATTTCTTCTCCATTTCTCAATTTTTGTTTATTCCTGGCTTTTGAATTTTTTTTTTTTTTATATAAATAACGAAAATAAAATTTTAGAATTCTATAGAAATTTTATTGTCCTATTAGAGGTTTAATTGGAAAAATTTATTGTCCAAGTTACAAGCTGGTATTTGGAAAATATAGCAATTTTTGCAAAGCTCTATAAAACACCCTGTAAATTGAAACTACAATTTTTTCAGAAATATTCCAATTAAGGTTTCTAAGAGACAATGAATTGCTTTATCAAACTGTGAAATTCCGCTTCTATACAGGGTGTTCTAAAAAAGTAAGAAGCATTTGAATTTGAGAATTTTTTAATTTACCAAAGTCTTACCAATTTTCTGCATTTTGGAAAAATTTATTGTCCAAGTTACATAAGCTGTTTTTTGGGAAATATAGCAATTTTTGCAAAGCTTTATAAAATACCCTGTAGATTGAAACTACAATCTTTCCAGAAAAATTCTAATTAAGGTTTCTAAGAGACAATGAATTGCTCTATCAAACTGTGAAATTTCATTTTTATACAGGGTATTCTAAAAAAGTTAGGAGTATGTGAATTTGACGATTTTTTAATTGGCTTACCAACTTTCTGAATTTCGCAACTTTCTTTATACACCCTGTACAAACTTAAAATTTCAAAATTTTATTGAAAATTCATTGACTTATTAGAGGCTCTATTTGGATTTTATTGGCCAAATTTATTGTCCAAGTTACAAGGTGTTTTTTGGGACAGAGAAATTTTTGCATAGCTCTATAAAACACCCTGTAGATTGAAATTATAATTTTTTCGGAAAAATTCTAATTAAGGTTTCTAAGAAACAATGAACTGCTCTATCAAACTGTGAAATTTAACTTCTATACAGAGTATCCTAAAAAAGTTAGAAGCATTTGTATTTGAGGATGTTTTAAGTTACCAAAGCTTTACCAACTTTCTGAATTTTGTAACTTTATACACCCTGTACAAAGTTGAAATTTCAAAATTTTATAGATAATTCATTGATTTATTAGAGACTCTATTTAGATTTTATTGTAAAAATTTATTGTCCAAGTTACAAGCTGTTTTTTGGAAAATAGAGCAATTTTTGCACAGCTATATAAAACGCCCTCTGTAGATTGAGATTACGATTTTTTCTGGAAAAAATCTAATCAATATTTCTTAGAGACAATGAATTGCTCTATATCACTTTTATACAGAGTATCCTAAAAAAGTTACAAGCATTTGAATTTGAAGATTATTTAATGCATTAAAGGCTTACCAACTTTTTGAATTTTGTAACTTTCTTTATACACTCTGTACAGAGTCTAAATTTCAGAATTCTATAGAAAATTTATTGTTCTATTAGAGGCTTTATTCGGATTTTATTGGAAAAATTTATTGTTTAAGTTGCAAGCTGTTTTTTGAAAAATAGAGCAATTTTTGCACAGCTTTATGAAATACCCTGTAGATTGAAGCTACGATTTATTTTTTAAAAATTCTAATTAGGGTTTCTTAAAGACAATGAATTGCTGAATATTAAACTGTAAAATATCGCTTTTATACAGAGTGTTCCAAAAAACTAACAAGCATTTGAATTTGAGGATTTTTTGATATAAGTACCTACTAAGGTTTACCAACTTTTTAAATTTTACAACTTTCTTTATACACCCTGTACAGAATTCAAATTTCATAATTCTATACAAAATGTATTGTCCTATTAGAGGCTCTATTTGGATTTTATTGGAAAAATTTATTGTGCAAGCTACAAGCTGTTTTTTGAAAAATAGAGCAATTTTTGCACAGTTTTATAAAACACCCTGTAAATTGAGGCTATAATTTTTTTTGGGGAAAATTCTAAGTAAGGCCTTTTAGAGACAATGAATGGTTCTATTAAACTGTGAAATTTCGCTTTTAGACAGGGTGTTTTAAAAAAAGCATGCATTTGAATTCGAGCATTTTTTAATGCATTAAGGCTTGCCAGCTTTTTAAATTTTACAACTTTCTTCATACACCCTGTATAGAATTGAAATTTCAGAATTCTATAGAAAATTTATTATTATATTTGAGGTTCTATTTGGATTTTATTGGAAACATTTATTGTCCAAGTTACAACAAGTTGTTTTTTGGGAAATAGAGCAATTTTTGCACAACTTTATAAAACACCTTGTAGGTTGTAGCTACGATTTTTTTTTTTTTGGAAAAATTTTAATTAAGGTCTCTAAGAGACAATGAATTCCTCTATCAAACTGGGAAATTTCGCCTCTATACAGGGTGTCCTAAAAAAGTTACGAGCATTTGAATTTGAGGATTTTTTAATACACTAAAAGACATAGTACCAATTATTTAAATTTTACAATTTTCTTCATACACCGTGTACAGAATTGAAATTTCAGAATCTTATAGAAAATTTAATGTCCTATTAGAGGCTCTATTTGGATTTTATTGGAAAAATTTATTGTCCAAATTGAAAGCTATTTTTTGGGAAATAAAGCAATTTTTGCACAACTTTGTAAAACACCCTGTAGATTGAAAATTATAATTAAGTTTTCTAAGAAATAATGAATTGCTGTATCAAACTGTGAAATTTCGCCTCTATACAGAGTGTCCTAAAAAAGTTACAAGCATTTGAATTTGAGGATTTTTTAATGCTCTCTAAGGTTTACCAACTTTCTAAATTTTACAACTTTCTTCATACACCCTGTAAAGAATTGAAATTTCTGGTTGAAAGAAGAGAGAAAGTTTAGGAGAAATAAGACACAGAATTTCCAAAAAATAAAGGAAAAATTCAAGGGCCGGGAATAGACAAAAATTGAGATGAAAATAATGAGAAATAAAGACGAAATTTGTTGTCAGTCAAATTTTGTATATGTACTTACTAAGTGTACTCGAATAGTTCCGGACAAAAAATAATGAAAAATAGAAGAAAAAATAAATAAAAATATGTAAGGTTTTATTTATTCAAAATAGCTCAAATAACATAAAATGTTATTTTAGGCTCTTGAATTTTTTCTAATTAAAAAACAATGAGAAATTTCTGTTTATTATTTTCCAAAGTTTGATGGTTCAATTTGAATAATTGCTATAAAATAATCTTAATTTTCTAGTGCAAACTACAACCAAAACTGCACCCATATTCATTTATTTTTTATTCAAAAGTACCCAACCTAAGTGCAGCATTACAAAACTATTAAATTATTATTATCAATAACTCAAAACATGAAATGGAACAAATTTAGTTTTAAATGGAACCCATCGCAATATTATGTATTACAAAATTTTCGCGGTTCAACGAACCATAGAAGTCCGAAATAAAACGCACTCGGATCTCGAAGAGCGAGCGAAATTATAAATGGATTTCTGCAATTACGGTAATTCTCCGTGATGTAAAGGTCATTGTAAATCACTTTAATGACTTTTGGTAGATTTAGCCTTTCAAAACTTTTAGTAATATCAGGGTCTAATTTTTGTGATATATATGTACCTACTTAAATACAACAAAAAATGATTATTTAGTTTCCAATTATAATTATCAATTATTACATATTAGGTGCAACTAACTATTTCAACTTATAACAATATGTACCTAATTATTGAAAAACAAATAGGTACAATATAATTTGCCGAAAATAGAATAATTTTATTAGGAAGTAAAATTATTATGTTTCGGTCAAAAGAAGTGGGAACCCCAAGGCTTCTTTTAGGATTCAACTGAATAGTACCTATATAAGATGGTTCCCAATTTATTACATTCTATCAATCATTTTTTTGTTATTAAATATGAAGGTACAATTGTTGGTGTAATTTTCTTGTGATTTTTTTTATTAGTTTTTTGTTTTAGGTTTTTGTTTGTTTGTTTGTGCTCGTTGCAGCTTTCAGCTACAGTGAAGGTAAGATTTTTAATTGATATTTAACTTTTTATAAATTTGTGATTTTTTTTTGAATTTATTTTACGTTTAGAAATCTTTAATGTAAAAATGTTCTCTATATTGTGTACTTATATATTTTTTGTGTGTACTTGTTTTACAATAATTACTATTAAGTTTTCATCAGAAATTATTTGGTTTTTTTGTTTTACAAAAGTGCATGTTTTTTTATTTATAGCCGGTCATCTGATATCCTCAGGAGGCGGATACGGATACGGAGGTGGCGGCGGATACGGAGGTGGCCACGGTGGATACGGAGGTGGCAACGGTGGATGGTCTAGTGGCGGCGGCGGAGGCGGTTATTCTGGAGGCAGCAGTAAGTTATCTGGATATCAATACTTTATTCATTCAATACTATCAAAATTTCAGATGGTTGGAATCTGGGCGGCGGCGGCGGTCATGGAGGAGCCGTTAAAGTCATTTTTGTACCCGTCAGCACCGGAGGCGGATATGGAGGCGGTCATGGTAGCGGATTTGGAAGCGGTCATTCATCGGGCGGATATTCATCTGGCGGTCATGGTGGTGGATTAGGAGGCGGTTATGGTGGCGGATTTGGTGGCGGTCACTCATCTGGCGGATATTCAGGAGGCCACGGAGGCGGCATTGTAGGTGGATACGGCGGCGGTTATGGAGGAAATAGTGGATGGAAGTCTGGAGGAAGTGAGTTTTTTGATTTCCAAAAAATTGCAAATTTGTTTAAATATTTATTTTATATTTTATTTTTTTCTTTATAGGTGGATGGTCATCTGGTGGAAGTGGATGGTGGTAAATTGAATTTTCATGAAAATTCATAAAATTTTGCTCTTTGTGATTTGTAAATATATTTTTTAATAAATGTATTTGTACAAAAGTTGTATCTTTATTTTTTTTGTAACAAATATTTATTTATTTGATCATACATACAAGTTTTGATTCACAATAAGTTGTAAGAATTTGCTCTTAATTAAATTCATATCCTATTATTTTATGAAAAAAGTTATTGTATTTGGATTCTATAATATTTTTATGTACGATAATTTAAGACTCGAAAATTCAGACAATTAAATTGAGAAGAGATTTTTTCAGATAATTCAGAGGTTTTCTATTTCAGACTCTCGTATCAAGGGCCATAAATGCCCTAAAAAGGGAAACCATTATAGGCAGCACGTAGACGCGCATGTGGTCCATTGTGATATCCCCCTCTTTTTTTTACGAGTTGGAACAAACCTAATGTTTACACAGAGGAAGTTTTTCGTTTCGAAAGAGTGCAAATGTAAGGATAATACGATTATACCATAATACGCACTACTACACAGGATTGCTTATCGGCCTTATTTGTGGAAATTGCGGCGATATGGTGTATCACTCTATTGACGACATCATCAACTACGTCGTCAGCTGTTTGCGCGAGCTGTCATAGTTTAGAATATACATTTATGATGAAAAATGTTATGAGATCATAACCCACACCCTACGTCAAGGGGAGAAACGACAGCCTGTCTACGTAATCACTGGTTCTTTGGCGTGGTGAGAGGTTTGAGATTTGATATACACAGGCCTTATGATGATAAGCTAACCTCTAATAGTAGTTATGGCAAAAACCATTGGTGAAATTAGTGTAAAAAACATTTATTTCTGTCACTTTCTTTTACATCATGTAGTAGAAGAGGACACGAATGCACTGAGTGCGCACTGAACTTACGAATAGATTCCACTATAAGTGTGTATTATCCTTGGTTCGAATGGTCTAAGGCAGCGCGAGAATGAGCGCCATTTTGTTTACTTGCCAGAGATGTTATTTCTTAGACAAGGAAAGAGAGGGGACTCGTATGACAGCAGGTGTAAATGAAGCAGTTTGCCACCAAAAAATGTCTGCTTTTTTCATAACATAACCTAGAAAGCATATTGTTTTTTTGCCTGTTAAATGTGATCCCGTCGACTTTTTTTTCTCTGCGGGTTTTGCAGCCATATGCTAGCAATCCACCATGCTGAATATCACAAAAATATAAAGTTTGTTTCGCCAGGGTTTGTACTTGCCACCAGCATTTGCCTTCCTTGTTTAACAAATAAAAATTGACTGAAACAAATCAATGACGTCAAAAACGTTCGTCGGTTCTTAAATCATTTTAATTTGTCAAAAAAATTGAATGTGTCATATGAATTAATCTACAACCCTTTTTTTTCAAGTTTCAAGGTCAAGTATGAACCCTGGTGAAACGAACCTTATGTTAGTCTGAAGTGAAATTCACATAGTGACACCATGAAAAATTGTCGCCATTATTTGGTGGCATTTGGTCACAACCAGCTGCTAGTGCAGATAAAGGATGTTACGCGTCCTCTCTCTTTCCTTGTCTAAAGCATGGGCGTCGTTACGAGGTTTCTCAGGGGGGGGGGCAGTATTATAATAAGACCATTTCCATTAGCGCCGCAGGCAACCGCCGTAGGTTAGTTTTTTTTAGTGCCACATCCCTTTTTGAGCATTTTAAGGTACTTAGTTGATATCGATATTTAGTTAAAAATGATGGTATTTTTTTCCGCAACAAATTCACTGTCCGCATCATTTGTTCAGTGGCGACGCCAGGGAAGGGCCAGAAGAGGCCGGGGCCGCCACTGAAATTTAGCCGGCCCCCCCCTGAAAACTTGTTCTCATGTCGGCAACAATGCAATGTAACATCAGCAGCCTCTGTCGGTTAATTCGGTATTCGGTGAGCACAGGCCAAGAATCGTAAACTAACAGGAATTCTCATCCTCATAAGGCGTACGTTCGTCAACTCTCGAGTCGGCAGGGCCTGCGAGTGACGTCACTTCTTATTAGCAGCACAAACAGCTTATAATGATGACGTTGCCCGCAGGCCTCGATGGGATGCTTGCGATTCAGGTTGTGCTTGTTTTTTTGTCAATTTTAAATGTAGAAAAGGTGATTTTAACAAGAATATAACGATTACTGTGACCTGTGACTGTTTTGAACTCGGCTAATGCATTTTACGCCAAGTGTTGAGGTGTTCGGCTGAGATGGCAGACATTTTCAGCTCAAGAAGCAGTCCTATTAGGTTGAGTGTTCTTGGGCACAGGCAACTCAATGCTGCTTTCGGTTTCCTGGGATTACCTCAAACATAATAGTGTCGACAGGTACCTACTTCCCATTTTTTATTCCAAAGAACAAAAGCAGTAAAATAAAAACAAATGCCCCCCCCTAAATTTTTCTGACCCAGTCTGCCCCCCCCCCTAACATAGAACCCTGGCGTCGCCACTGCATTTGTTTAGTTAATTTGGACTATTTCTAGGGGGGGGCAAATGCCCCCCCCCCCCAAACGACGCCAATGGTCTAAAGTGTTATTTATTGAAAAATTTGCCTTCGGCGCCATTACCACCATATTGTTTGCCTATAATTTATGGGTGGGGAGGAGGGGAAACACACATAGAATGTCCCATGTCAAATTTGTCATGCCGTCATACCCTATCACAAAGGATAACGCACACCTAACATAAGATTTTTGGGCTCTATGGATTTTGCCCATTTTTTGATATGTTGCCGAGGATTTAATTCTGAACAACTTTTAAATGAGACGAAATCTTGTAGGTATTACGGTCTTTGAGATATGAGCGTTGAAAGAGGAACTTTTTTGCAACTTTTTGTGTGGAGAGTATACGAAAAACTGGTGTTTATCAGTCCAAATTTTGACAGGTCGGCATATTTTACGTTACTAACAAATGTCAACATAAGCTAAGGCCGGGACCGCATTGGCGCAAACATTGACTCGAGTGCGGTTCCGGCCTTAAGTTGACATTAATTTTTAAGTGACGTAAAATATGTGAACCTGTCAATATTCTGACTGATAAAACATCAGTGTAGAGGTGGGAAACTATCGATGGTAATTATCGATATATCGATAGTTTGCAGCACTATCGAACCATCGATAGTTCTACTTGGACAATCGATAGCAGTCCTTCTGTCTTTTCTTATGTCAGCAATGTCAAGCGTCAAAAAATTTACAACTCAGCTACACTTTATTTCAGTTCGTAGTGGTGTTTTTTTGTTTTTTTTTTTTTACTTCCAGTTAAATTATACATTGTTATCCACAATATTAACTTCCATTTGGGTATTGTTTCTTTAGGTCTGGTTGTGTTTCTGTTGTAGGGCGTAGGGGTAGGACCTTCATCTGTAGACTGCAGTCTGTTTTTTAGGGGTGTAGACTGTTGAGCTCATTAACTAACATTTTGGGTTGCCCTGACCTGCTATTCGCTGAACCCCAAATACAAAATGGGTCCAAAACGTGTTTTTTTTAAATCGATAGTTATATCGATACATTGATAGTTTTTATTCGTTACTATCGATACATCGATAGTTAGGTTCTTCGATAGTTTCCCACCTCTATTTTCCTGTTTTGTTTTGATTTTGAACTTGTACTTTTTAAGTAAGTTTCGTAATATTGTTTCTACTGACCCTAAAGTTTCTATCCACCCCGTTTAGGGTAAATTTTTTAGTTACATATCTGTTGATTCGTGTCGTAATGGAGGGTAACCGTGAAAACATTGAAAAAGGCTCGGAAATAAGTAAAAGTTATAAAAATGAGTAAGTCTAATGAGAAGTAAGTCCAGAAGAGAAGATGAATCCAAATTTTGTAGATATGTATATGTCCTCGCTCCTGTACTTGGTGTTCCAAAACATTTTCAAAACAGGGCAATTTAAGCATGTAGAGGTGGGAAACTTTCGAATGAAACTATCGATATATCGATAGTTCGTTGCGGAATTAAAAATATCGAACTATCGATAATTTTCCCTAGACTATCGAATTCTGTATTATTAACCTTGCGTTCGGTATTTTGCTCAAAGTGCAGAGCGTGCTGAGTGGAGTCGTTATCACGTGACCAGCGAGCGAACAGAGCAGTTGAACGCTGTATCAAAAAGCCAAACATTTTAATAAACGAACTCGAATGAGCCTGCACCGAGTACACTTTTTAAATAAACGAACTGTAAATTCAAGCTCGGAGAACTCAGATCAAAATACCGAACGCACGGTAAATTGGTAACACTGGGCGAATTTTTTTAATCATCGATGGATCCATCTGCTGAAAGCATTATGAGACAGCCATTCTTATTTTCTATGAACTAGACAAAGACAGACAGGTTATCGATAGAGCCATCGGTGAATAAAAGAAAGGGCGCGTTCTTTTATTCAGCAATGGATCCATCTGCTGCCATCATTATGAGACAGACATTCCAATTTTCTATGGGCTAGACAAAGAAAGGCTGATTACCGATGGATCCACCGCTGAATAAAAGAAAGCGCCCAAAGCGTTTACTGACTAGGAGTGGTGACAAGTCGACAGCTGATGCTAAATTCTGACAGGAGAGGAGTGACAGATGGTCGACTAACGAGTAAAGGGGGACGCTCCCATTTCGCGCCATTTCATTTATTATTTTTTCTACAAACGTGTTAAAAATGCAATTTTTAACACCCCCCCGAAGCATTAAAAATGTTACTTTATCGCACTAGTGCCATAAAGTCTTTATAGCACTAGTGTTAAAAATGAAACATCAAATTTTGAGAGCGAACGTCAAAAAAAGTTTGTATTTTTAGTTATTTACATTGATATTAATGGTGAAATTTGAACAACTGAGGTAGCCCGATTGGCCGCCTCATCTATATTTTTCAAGGGATCGATGCAATCTTCTCTTTCTTCTGTATTTTGTTGCATTTCTAGCAAAAAGCATTACTAACCACGACAGTCTTTCAAGAAACTGACAAGACATTTCATTACCTGTAAAACAAGGTGCTGGTTGTTTGAACTTTTTGACAAATGTCAAATTCAATAATTTTATGTAGGAAAGATGCTTCCAATTTAGCATTCATTAAAAAATG